CGTCTGGGACATCCGTGGTCACACCGACGGCTAAACCATCGGGCATGCCTCATAGTGGGTCCTATGAATACTATGTGTACACACATATATATGGGTGGTTGTCAAAATTATGGTCCTTTTTTGGGTCCCCTAAATTAGGCCCCGTATTAGGCCCCGTATTATAATAGGGACCCAAAAAGGGACCATAATTTTGACAATCCCCCACATGGAGCCCAAATTATCGAACATCTAGGTACTACTTGGACATTTGGGGAAACTTCTTACGCTGCTCCTGGTAGTGGAGCTCCTCGACAACACCTCTGCCAGCGGGCTGCACAGAGCTTACTGCCCTCTGAGAGGGTTTAGGGTTTAGGGTTTAGGGTTTAGCCCGATACCGTTTCATCGGGGAACAGGCCCAAGCTAAGCCTACACTTTCCATTATAATAGGGCTGTAAGTACTCAGAAGCTGTAAAGTGCACCTACCCAGTATATAGTACCCCAATACATAGAAGGGATCCTGGCATCAGGTAAGGTATGGTACGTCCTTCATCGTGGGGTATGGGGGGCCCTTGGTTATCTCCAGGAGCCCTAAACCCTAAACCCTAAACCCTTGGGCCCTGGCCATTCATTACGCCGTTCTGCCTTCAGTGTCTAGGGCTTACCAAATGAAGTGATGTATTATGTAGGGCTCGTATAGCACAGCTGATTTTTGGTCAGAACATTTTGGCAACTCGAGATTCGGTTTCAGCTGCTGCAGAAGGTGAAGCGCACGTACTGCTACCCTTCCAATTACAGTAGATGCACTTTACGGTGCTCACGGTGTAGTGCAGCAGAATTCTGAAAATTAGTCGACATAGGTATGTGGAATCAAGGCACCTTCATTGCATTGAAAACTGCGATTGTTCAGCTCATCACAGATCCCGAGCCGCATTGTGTTGGTTTCCTGGGTTGCTGCGAGGGGACTTAAATCAAGTTACCCGAGGGGCATTTATTGAACGGAATAAATAAGGCTCCCTTAAAATCTTCATAAAAAACAGCTGAAGAAGTTAAAGAAAGCTAATGGAATACCCAATTAAAACCAATCGAAAACCAATCAACCCCAACGTAAAACCAACTATACGACCAGTGAAAATGCAATTCATAGCTAATGAGAACCCAACTAGCTAGAAAAGCTCATGATTTACATAAAATCTACTTAAAACATGGAAGCTCTAGTCGAAACGAATTGAAACCAAAGGAGATTCGAGAAACTCTAACGAAGTCGAATTAAAACCAATGAGTCTAATTCGATTAAATTAACTACTTAAGCTGTTTGGAATCAATTTAAAGCATTTTTCAATGAAGTTAAAAATCAGATGATTTGAAATGAAGTTACAATCCTTTAAAAACTACGCAGACTGAGTTCAAAAAAACTATCCTGATCCACTTAAAACCTAGGAAGGCAAGCAGACACCTAATCCCCTTAGTTAGTTTTTGATACCTCCCTAAGTCATCATCAGGGGGAACCTTATTGGTGCCTTGCCCTTTTGCAAGTGCTCTTCAAGATTTTTCAGTCCCTGCAAGAATTAGGTAATTAGGTGGGTTTAAATAGCAAAGAAGAAATTAATGGGGTTTCCTGATAGCGGTACCTCCCTAAACCCTGAACCCTTAATCCTCCTAAAAACCTAAACCCTTGACTCAATCCAAAATCTTCCACAACAATCCAGTTTCTGCGGGGCTGCCGGCACAGTTTTGCGAATCATACACCTGTTCCACGACAGCGTCGTGCAACTTCAGGGTCATTTTTACCTGTGGTCACTTAGGGTTTAGGGTTTAGGGAAACCCCCAACAACCCCAAAAGCTAAACAATGGGAAATTACCCAAACCCCTAGACCCTAAGCAAGCTCTAGAATGCTAGGAAGGCCTTGTGAGGATTCTAGATGGGCAATTTGAGAAACTCCCCAATTTCAGCCTGGTACACTATCAACCCCGGAAAAGGTTTAGGGCTTAGGATATGTTCGACCTATGATGGCTTGGAAAGGATTTTTTTACTGCATGGCAGTTGATCCCAAACTGCCTAAACTGAAGAAATGCCACAATGTGCCTTTACTGGCAAACCACGAAAACAACAAATACATACTGACTTCGCTGTGAGAAGCATAGCGGGTGTCATTCGCCGCAGAGTCCAGCACGCACTCGTCAGTCTCGAAGACCTCGCTGTGCATCATGGTCCCGCCACAGGACGGAAAAGATGCATTGTAATACCTGTACACGATCGTCTGGGAGTTGATCTCCACCCTGAAGTTCTGCGGAGCCATGCAAACCCTCACTATCTCCTCCCAGGAGGTGTTCAGAAGGCTACCGTTTATGCACTCATCGGAAGAGTAGAGCTCTCGAATCACAAACGGCTCGGCGTGCGACGGCGCCATGAATACCAACATGGCTGCTTGCCCTGCATGCTTCATGCAGGCTCAGTAGACGGGGTAGGGTGGTGAAGGAAATAATGCTAGAGTTGCTAGACCTCCATCGTAGACCCAAAGATGTGTTCGATTAGCTGATGCAAGGTGATAAACAGCGCATGGTGGCCACTCAGTATGCAGCCTGCCTATCTTGCATGTCCTGCGCCAGGTTTCCTTGCAATTCATGAAACAACATGCCCTTAAGAGCTCTCTAATGGTTCCTAGAAATGACACAATAGCAGTAGGTTATCATGTTGGGGGGTTGTACTTTTGAGATCCCTCCGGGAGCTTGGGACGCCGTGTATTTTTTCTACAAGCTCCCCTTCCGAAAGAACGCCTGATCTTGAGCCATCGACATGCCGCGGCATTGCACGAAGATGGTAAGCCCATTGAGGGGGAACTCTACATGGGGACTAATAAGGGAGCAATGTTTCTCGCATTTTGAAGCGTGCAACCGGGACCTCTAAATTAAAGAATCCCCAAATGAGCAGAAACGAATAGTGACAATAGTAATATGACAGCATTAGTACTAACAACAGTAAGAATGGAAATAACCAGAGACCTCAGTCCCAAACGCCATCAACATCACACAATCTGGCTGGCTGCTCGGGAACTCAACTTACGTTACCAATGTAAGGGGTTTGGGCTTTCGGGTTTGGGGGTTTAGGGTTCTAATCCATATCACGTTACTCAGTTAAACCTCCATGGTACCTGGGGTCCTGCCCCTACCCAAAAGCAGCCTATAAAAGCCGTCATATTAAGGGCCCTATATCAGTACATCGAGCATGCTATCCAACTGTTTATGAACGGGGGCAGCATCCAAATCACACCACTATCAACGACTCGAAGATCCCAGTATCGGTAGGAACCAATCATCTAGCCAACACCCCGACACCGGACTTGGGAGTATTGGCAGAACCAAATGGTAGTTTCCCAGAATAGGGGAACCCAACTATAGACCCCCATATATTAAAATCCTTATCATGGGGACCCCCCCCAAAAAAGGTATCCTCAATTTTTCTAAATTTCCAAAAGGAGAACTCAGGGCTTCACCAGCCGTATATTGTAACCCCAATTGCCTACAGCTTAATAGTAACTACCCATTGGTTTGTAGGTAGAACCCATAAACATGTAGGTAACTGGGGTCAGCCGTAGAATCCACCAGCTTCTTCGTGGCCTCATCACAGGGCCAAACTCTTGCGCCGTGGCTGATCAGCCTTGGAAGAGCCGTGATTTGATTGAGACGAAAACTCATCTTACTGGTTGTTAGGGTTTAGGGTTAAGGGCTCAGGGTTTCGGGGGAATCACGGAACATATTATAGGGTTTACGGTTTAGGGCTAGTAGGGAATCAGGGACTATAGTCCCCATATTATCTCTATATATGTCATATTCCCTTGTCCCTACTAAGAACTAGTAGGTCATTCGGGGAAGCTGGATGGGATTATGAAGGAGTTACGCTGCAATTATTGGGGCCCCATGGGATTATGAAGCAATCGGGAGGGGTTTATGGTGGCCCAGTTATAAGGATTCCAGGATGATGTTTCAGAAACTTCCGTTGCCCGGACGTCAGGATTGCAGTTACTTGGAGTTACAAGGAATGCCAGACTGCCATACTTATGCTTTGCATTTGATTGTTCATCACTGTTCATGCCTTTTCATTTTGGCGAGGCTTGGGGATCTCTGACTTTCCCAGAGCCTCCTGAGTAGTTCCCTTATGGGATATGATATATATATATACATATTGATATCTATATATATATAGAAAGAGAGAGATACCGAAAACAAATAAAAGACAACAACATATAACAAGCCCAAAGAGCAGCTACGTAGGAGCCCGCGGGTATGGCAAGGCCAAAACGAACCCCAAACTGGGTGGCTGATAAGGAACTTAATCTAAGTTACCGTACTATGGGTACATAGTAAAGAACAAGATTTTCCGATCATATTAACCTTGAACCCTACACCCTGAACCCTAAACCCTTAACCTTAAACCCTGAACCCTGAACCCTCAGCTAAAGCCTCAACCCGGGTGTTAGGGAGAATTGCTGATCTGAGGCTTGGTTTCGAGCTGGTCAATGCCTGAACTATCGGAAGAATCGCTGTGATTGCCACAGGGTTTGGGTAGTTAAGGGTAATATCACGGTCTAGTAAAGGGGAGAGTTCTAATTCTAAACCCAACTGTTCAGGCATCCACCGTACCTATCGTGAAGGCTGCTTCAGGCAGTTGGCGCTTCTAAGAAGGCCCCAAGTCTTGCAAGGTAATGAAGCGGAATATTTCAACTAAATAAGTTTGGGGGGTATGCAGGATGGTTCGCCCAGTTACCTAAGTATACTCATTAATTTCATGACACGAACACATCGGACTTACAACTATATATCCTATATAAGCGACTCAGAACCTCACTTATAACTGGGAAGCCCCTCCCTGTACTCCACTTCTGCAGTTTCTTGAAGTTTAGAGCCATAAATGAAGACCAAGACCCCATCGACCCTAAATGCCGCAATTAGAGGCCCTGTAGCCCCCATGAAAGGGTACCTGGGGGGTCTAGGGATTTGGACCATTGGAATTTGGAATTTCAACTTCTGCCGAGCGGCATTTTGACCACCTCGGTATTCTTCTGACGGCAGGCATACCTAGGCGCCACTTGGTTAGTGTTTCGATGGTTGGACCAAGCAAGATTACATCTTCTCTTATAAATACTATAGCCCATGATCCTTTCTTTATTGAAGATTACAGTATCTTGCAAGAAAATACTGCCACGTGGGGAGGAGTAACTTCTTCCAAGCAGACATGGCACCCCCGAACAGGGGGCCCTATGAACTAGTTGCTGTCCTTCATGGCTTTGATGTTTGCTGGGGCGAGTGTTGTGGCTTAGAGACAGATACTGCAAGACCTCAGCAACCATCCTTGGATGGGTGCTTAACAGACAGACTAAAGTTCCGAAAGTATCCAGGTACCTACTGGGTGGTCGCAGCAAAATCGGAACTCTTCATGGCTTGCTGTACATGGGTTGTTCTTAAGATTATGGGCCTCTTTTGGTTATAGATTATACTACAGCACCTAATATTTAGGGGTACCAAAATGTGGACCCTAATTTTGGAAACTACCCACATGCTTTCGGGCTGCAAGCTGCAAGCCTCAGAGTATACACAGCAGTTTGGCTGACTGTGCCTCCAACTAATCCGGCATCTGCCATGAATACCAGGGGCATTGTCATAAGAATGCTGAAATTTGTAGGTCCTCGAACCCCGCAGACGGCCGTACTTGAATCACCCGAACATCCGACTTTCCCCGATCTCTACATATCTTCGTGGCTCGTGGCACAGACGGAAAATTCAGCGTCACCACTGTGGAAAAAGCTATCCAATGCCCAAGTGTAAACCTAAACTGACATCCAGGGTTGAGGATATGTAAGGTTGCCACAGCCTGCGGTCTAAGTGCTACTGGCGCCTGAAGGGTGCAGAAACTGTTGAACTCGCCAAAATGAGGATGTTAGATCCCCATCCAAGGGATGCAAGTACTGAACCCATGTAACTTACCCAGAGGGTCCAAGTACCCAATAATTTGGTACTTTGGATTTGGGTAATAGTAATTCTAGTACAGGTTTTGGGTAAGTATATGATTATTGGGTACTGAACCCATGTAACTTACCTGAACCCTAAACCCTAAGCTTATAATATGGCCCTAGGTCTGAATCCTACATGAACAAAGACCTGAGAAACCTGGGAACCCAATTGATTTTAGGGGTCTAGGGTTTATAGGGTTTAAGTTTAAGGGAACCCAGCGCCCAAAAAAGCAGAACAGCTGCCTGCTGCAGATTCCAGAAACACAAAGGCAAACCCAGTTGTAAGCCCCTTAGGGTCGAAGGACCCAAATAGTAGGGCTTCAGGCCCCAAATACCAATAATAGTACAATAATTAGACACACCTCATTTTTTAGGTCCTTGGACCCTTAGGGACAGCAATGGCACTTTTCCGCAACAGACTGTTGAGGATTTAGGGCTTATGGGGTTTTAGGGTTAAGGGCCTCGATCCGGAAGCTTTTGACATGGTAGTTTGACTATTGGGGCGTCGCAGAAGGGCCACTGAATACATATGCGGCCCCTCCCGCAAAACTAATCCCCAGCCAGTAGACTGAAATCCCCAAAGCCCCTTTTAATGTACGTGTCCAGCTTACTATCATTAATACATGGGGGGGAATAATTAAGGATTGTATTGCAACCCCGTTCCTTTTTGTATCACCCCGAGTGTTGTCTTCGCTTTATTTTCTTCTTATCATTTTTCCAAGTTTTGGAGCTTATCATTGTCTTTATCGTTTGTTTTATCTGACCATTTTCCCAGACAAAAACGTACAAATTTGCACTTTGCGGCACACCAGGACATCATCCTCTGGGTTTGTTATACAATCCCATAATTGTTATTCAGGGGTGGGGGGCTTCGTTATTAGCACCTGAATGCAAGCCCCTTCACTTACGCCTCTGTAGCCCCTTTACTTAGACAAATGGCCTGAAAAGGGTCACCCCCGCCCCAATGTTTCGCAACTCGCCACTAACGATCTCAGATAACAGCCTTGAATATATTCGCCTTTCTATTCCCCTCAACTGGAACCACCCTACCGCAAGGTTTGGCAACTTGTCAATAACTTAAGGAATCCTCGCAAGATCGACAGGAAAGTGGACCCATAATCGAGGATGTCCCCAAAGGTCGCCTAATGTGTGGCCCACAAATCTAGGTTTACTCGCTGATTCTTAGTAGGGAACAAGGGAATATAACAATCCCTATAGAACCTCTTATTATTCATATATGTATATGATATATTCACTCACTTTTTCCCTACTACCTCCCAGTAAGTTTAAGGTCGATAGGGCCTTCCTTTAAATGACGGTCAGACGCATGATCGGTGTTGCGCCGCGGGAGTTGCGCGGATTGATGTTGGCCTGGGTAAGCGTTTCGGACTTAGGGGTTTCGCATCGATAAGGGACTCAGAACTTGGGGTTCAGGATTG